CACTGCTCCCGCTCTCGGTGCTTCTTGCGGTTTCTTCCCCTCCCCGCCCCTTTCAAGGTTGTGCGAGTGGAGCCCTGCGAGGCAGGTCCTCCCCTGACCCCTGGTGACCCTCCTGTTGCGCTTCCTCGGGAGGCGTTTTGCCCTCCGGTTAAAACCTTCAGTGTTTTCCGTGTCCCTTCAGGTGATAGCGAGAGATGCCGTGTCGTTAGCAGGCACGGAGGTAGTATCGACTCCCTTGGCTGCAGCCTTGGCTGCAGCACGTTACCCTCATACTGTTTGCTGTCTTCTTGCCTTAAAACAGCATATGGGCTGAAAAGACACATTTCTAGGGTTTGCTTCCTTTTTTTAATCACAGTGATCATAAATCATAAAGGTTGGAAAAGACCTCAAGGATCATCAAGCCCAACCGTCAACCCAACACCACCCAACCCACTAAACCATGTCCCCAGCACCACATCTACACGTTTCTTGAACCCCTCCAGGGATGGTGACTCCACCACTGCCCTGGGCAGCCTGTTCCAATGCCTGAGCACTCTTTCAGTGAAGACATTTTTTCTAATATCCAGCCTAAACCTCCCCTGGCACAACTTGAGGCCATTTCCTCTTGTCCTATCACTTATTACTTTAGAGAAGAGGCCAGCACCCCCCTCGCTACACCCTCCTTTCAGGTAGTTGTGGAGAGTGATGCTGGAAGCATGTTTGTGTTTTCACTAGTTTTATGCTTTGTCTGCCTTAACTGTGAAAAGCACACCTGCCTTCTAGGAGAGTTGATGCCTAGATCCTTTCTGTATCTGAAATACTTGAAGACATGTAATAACAGGATATCAACACATCAGATGTCATATTAGTGCTTTTCATTATAGAGGTTTTTAAGCCCCTAAGTTATGTACACACTTTGGGAGTCAAAATCCATGTTTCTGTTTGACGAAATGTCCCAGTTGTTTGAAGATGAAAAGTCTACATCTTTTTTTTTTTTTTTTTTCTTTTCCCAGAATATTGGCTTTCAGTCAGAATTGCTGTCTCTTGATTAAGGCTGGGGAAGGCTTTCATACTGGTAGTCAAGGTTCTCTGTTGGTAGACAGGTGGCTTTTTATTCTGTCACTGAAAATCATAAGATCAAAGTAAAATTGGCATGAATATGTATTCCTGCGTTTGTAAGTTGATGCTAATTGGTGGGAAGCAGTGATGAAGAGCTGCTATTCCAGAGAAAGAAACAGCTGAGAAATAGAGCTGGGGATGATGCAGATATGTGATGTAGCAGACAGATGGAGTGGCGAACCAGAAGTGAGTCACTGGGAAAGGACTGTGCCCTTTCCTTTCTGGTGACTGCTGTGGGAGATATACTTCAGGTTTAAAGGTCTTGCTAGGGGAAAATTATGGAAGAGTGGTAATATACACAGAGTCTGGAACAGTACGTTAATGAAAAATGTCACGTTCTTTTGAAAACTGAATTGCTGTTTCCAAGATTTGAAGCTACAGATCTAGGAGTGTGTTGGGCTTATCTGGCTCCCTATAATGGTGCAATTTCAGAAGAGGAGTTCACTGATGTCAGGGTTAAAATGCTAGTAGGAATGGAACTTTATTGCAAAATATCCATATTTGTTTCAGCCCTTCACATCCACCAGAGTTTTAAGCACTGTGCATATACTGAAAGATATGAATCAAAACACCTGACCCATTTGGGTATTTCCTCTGTTTAGTCCATGTCCATCTTAAGTGAACTGGAGATCTCGAACACGGCATTCTGGATCTCCTGTTCTATTCTGTTGGTGTTTTAGCTTGGCATCCTTCATTTTGCCTTTTTTTTCTGCATAGTAGTGAAAATTGTTCTAATAATAAGTCCAAGCTCTTATTTATAGCCCTTCAGTCTTAGTGTTTGATGGCAAGAAGTGCCTTTATTTTAATAAATGTAGGAAACAAGAGGTGACCTAGCTGTCCCAAATTCACCCAGCTACTCATTGGCTGTCAGAAAAATGTCCTGACATCCTGGCAACTAATACAGTCTGTTTTCTTCCTAAAATATGGCTTTTTTATTTGAAAGATTAATTAGGCTTTACCTCATGTAGAATTATAAATAAGCGAAGGCATGTTGCACATTTGCTTCCATCCTGGAGTGTATTCTCTTCTCCTTCTGCTTCTAGTCTTTGAAGAGCTGTGATTTTTGGGAGATGATGTGTTAATAAATATACTGGTGCAAAGTCAAAGAGACGTTCTCGCTGTCCTTGAAGGAGTGGTATGTCCAACTCTATCAAATACAATGTGCTGGAGAAGGTGTAGGAAGTTCTAGCTTGTTCTGCAGTTAGTTGAAGCTATCTTATTCTCCTTATGAGACTGCATATCCTCCTGCCTTTTAAATTTTTTCTTATTATGTGGGTTATGAGAAGAGTGCAGGTTCTTGTTTTGCTTTATCTTATTGAACTGGACAGCTGCCAGAATGAACGCACTCTGTTTTCTTTTTGCCTATTCTCAAGGCCAAGCCACACCTTTCTGTTGCTTCTCTTATCCTGAAGCTAGTGAGTCTGTTCAAATTTCCCACTCAGCGGAAGACTTTGGAAGAAGGATTAATTTGGATCATCTTGCCAAGATGATTACTGTTGTATGACTGTGCAGCAGAGCTGTTGTGTGAGGGAATGGAGCTGAGAACATGTGTTCCTGTGTTGGAGAGGAAGAAGGATTTCCCACATGTGGCCCTTATGCAAAGTATCCCATTGTTAAATCTGTGTGTGCTGTGATGTTCTGTGGAAACAGCTGTGAGCCGAAGTGTGGCTTTCACATGGGTCCAGATTGTTCCTTGCTGTCATCCTTTCTCTTGGTAATCTTGGGGTTTGGATTGAGCTGGTTCTTAATAAAGATACCTGTACTTTGTGAGCACTAATTGTACTGTGCAGGTTGGGAGGGTGTACAACATCCTGCTAGAGGAGCTGCTGGGGTCTTGTCTGACCTCCAGGTCTCCATCCTCACTGTGCTTCTTTTTAATGCCTCTTTCATTAACAATACACAATATGTGTATGTATTCAATATTTGGAGGGACAGTCTCTTGTGATGCTTTCTTAAAGCAGTTGTTTGGAACTGTGGATGCAGATTTACTATCCCAGATTTGAACACTAGAATTAAACACTTTCAGATCAGCTGTGCTTTGCTACTGATTGAGAAACTTGGGTATTTCACAAAGCCACCTTTAATTAAAAATCCCCTCTGACAGTATTCTTTTCCATAAAATTTTTAATTCAGAAATCAAACAGATGGTCTCTTTGTAGAATGAGAATGTTGCCACTGTGATTTTTGAACAGTTCTATATGTCCTAAGGGTACTATACACAATGATTAAAAAACTTCTTGTTCTCACAAAATTGCTAATGGAATGGATTTGTTGTACAGTAGACATGTAACTACAGAATTTTACCGGGTCAGTCACATAATTTATTTACTATTTTATTGTTACCTGTTCCCTTTATTTGATATTTAAAGCTCTGGTTAATAAATTAAGCAGTCTGTTGTGCCTTGTTTGGATAGCCAAAGCTTATATAATGTTTTGTAAAAATAAACACAAAGCATCTAAGAAACTGCTTGCAATTAATGTGATGGTTTTGATGTTTGTAGTGTGTATACTGCAGTTTCCCTGATTTCCTACGTGCTTTTAGGGAGTGAATGTCTTTTCCAATTCAGAAGGAGATGCAGGGAGCTTGAACAAGTATGCACATATTCAAGCAGCATATATCCTTAGGTCACCCTTTCAAAGGCAGTGTGCAGGACCTTGCAGCCTATTTATCTTGTAACAATGACACCAACCCGTCTGCAGGTCCGGGAGCAGGTTTCACCTGAGTAACACAAGTCTGAGGGAAGCAAAAATTGACGGCGCTTGTTGCTAAAATGAAAGAGTACCTGAATCACAGAATATTTCCGTAGGAGTTTAGTTAGTGCTTGTTTTGTTTGGAAAGCTGCCTTGCCTAGCTGTAGTTATGACTGTTTGCTGAGAAAGATAAAATTGTCTTGGTAGGATAAGGGAAGGGAGGGCCAAGGGTCAAAGTTAAAGAGCAAAGCTGATACAGTGCTAATTCATAATCCAGATTTTTCACAAATCAAAATTACTTGTACTGCATTATATGCTAAACATCACAGAAGTGGAGGGATGGACAATAACATGAGCTCAAAGACCAGAGAAATTTAAGCATAAGACAAACAATGGGTGGTTGTTCCTTGGTAACAAGGTTAGGAAGGTTGGGGGAATGTGAAGGGGTGTGTGTATAATTTTGGGGGGTTTTTTTCTTTTATTTTTTTTCGTAACAGATGTGAATATGTTTTCCTCCTATTCTAAAGCCTAATATTTTGTTTTGCACTACAGGACCATTTTTATATAAAAATAAGGAAAAAAAATCTCAACTTAAAAATTGCAGACACATGCTGCTTCTTGTTAAGAGCATTGCTAACTATAATTCCTTTCAGAAATATGGAAATAAGGCTGTGATCATGATTGAATGCTTTTTTTTTTTCTGAAAAGAGATAGGGAACATGATGCAACTCACTTTTTTTTTGCTAACTATAATTCCTTTCAGAAATATGGAAATAAGGCTGTGATCATGATTGAATGCTTTTTTTTTTTTCTGAAAAGAGATAGTGAACATGATGCAACTCACTTTTTTTTTTTTAAGAACTCATTCTTAAATGTTTTGTGGCTCTCATGAGACCAAGCTGTTGAGATCCGTGTGAATTCTATTAACAAAGATGTATTAGCTGTTATAACATTTTCCCCAATTTTTTCTTCAAAAAATATTTAAAATTGTTTGCTTTATCTTTTAACTATAAAATATAATTTAGGACTTTGGGACTTTCTTGTTATTCCTATTTAGTGTGTCATTCTGCATGTCACTCATTCTGTTTCCCAGCTTTTTAAAATATGGAGAGTTGTGTCAAGTAAGTACGTCCGTTGGGTATTTCTGTTTTTTGAAAGATTTGTTCCTGTAAAAATCCCACATTAATTGTTCTGAAGTTAAAAGTCAAAATTGTTTCCTGTTTAACATGTTCTTACTTTCCATTCCTCTAGATTTGGACCCAGCAGGATCGACAGTGCATCCTTGATACTTTAGCACAGTTGTTACTGGATAAAGAATGTACTCTACTGATTGGCCGTCAAGTTCGCCCAATCTTGTTGGATTTGTTGGAAAGAAATGCAGAAGCCATTAAAGCTGGTGGCCAAATCAACCATGATCGGCATGAAAGGCTGTGTGTAGCGATGAGCAAGCTGGTTGCGGACCACCCTGATGTTTTGCCGTGAGTAATGTAATGTCTCTTTGTGCAATGTTTGAACTTAGGGAGTATATGGTTGTTGGTGTTCACTGGTGATGAGAGCTGCTCTTACAGTTTGGACTGTCTCCCACAATAACGAATGTGTTTTGAATTGAAAGAATGATTTAAACCGTGTTGTAAGATCTAATGTGATTTTCATCTTAATGATCAAAAGAAAGCAAAACAGCTGGCATGAAAATTGCTCACAACCAAAATCTCGGTGTTTAAGATTAGGCCTGTGGGCCAGTAGAATACGAAGTTACATAAGTAGGAATCAGTATTACTTTTTTGGTAAACAAGAGCAACTGAAGAGATTTCACCAAAGGCAGTACTGTTTCCCCTTGATAATTAAGTAATGATTTCTAGTAACATAAAGTATCTGTTGTCAGCTGATTGCTGAAGTTGTCTTTCCTAAGTGTCAACAAAGTTCTCAGTATACCGTCAATTACTGTTTCAGGACCTCTGTCCTGACGTTTTTATTAGTGGCTGTTTTCCTTTCTTCTGGCTTAGATGTCCATGTTCCATTTCTTTTTCTTTCTTCTGAAGATTTGCTTTAAGATATTTTAAGAATACATCACCAGTTTTCCAGAGGCTTTTCCTGGAGAGCTCAGATGCAAACACAGTCCGATACGGGCGCAGACGAATGAAGTTACGGGACCTCATGGAGGCAGCCTATAGATTTTTACAAAAGGAGCAATCAATTTTTCGGGAATTATGGGACTGGAGTGTGTGTATTCCACTCCTAAGGAGTCATGACACTTTAGTCCGCTGGTAAGTTAACGCTCCCAGACCTTCTCCATTGAAAAGATGTATCTGTGTCTTGAATTGTATTTAACAATGTTCATATGCAAGTAGAAAAGAATCTTCAAATAATACCAGAAAAACCTGTACTAATGGCATCTGCACCTGTACTTCTTATTCTTACTTGATCTTCTGAAAGCTGTGGCGATCTATCACAGGGTGAAACACAGGCTAGCTCTTAGTCATGCTTAAAGCTATGGTCTGGAGAATCTTTTTCAAATAACCTCAGTTTACCCAAGTTGGATTCATGGGAGATGGTGAATTTATCACCTCACCTCTACTGTAAGCCTGTTGGTGTATTGCGTGCATTCTAGTGTGTTATCCTAGATGAAAAGTAGAGATGAATCTACTCTTACTCCAGCTTACATTGCAATGATATATTATATTATTCTGCATTGATACACTTTTAATGAGTTGAATTTTTCTTCTTTTGGTTGCATATAGACATTGTGATGTCTATGTGCACGATGTCACCAAAGCTTGGGTTATTTAAGCTACACTTCCTAATTGGCCTTGTTGCAGACTTTGCATGTGGTTTTGGTCAGATGTTTTATATTAGGTGTTTGCCTGCAGGGCTTCAACCTAGTCACATGATCTTCCTTATTTATGTGAGTAGTAGTATTGTTAATGCCTTTTATTTATTTAAGAAAAGGTCTTTAATAGTTTTTTTTTTTTTTAAACGTAAACTCAGAATTATGTTAGTAACACGTTTTAAAGTAAGGTGCATAATATAGAAGGGTCAGGAACAAGAGTGTTGTAACATTTGTCAGCCATTTATGAACCTCTTCAGGATGACCATGCACTTAGTCTTAGGAAAAAAAAATGAAATTTCTAATTGATTGCCTGGAATTGGTTTACCTGGTGTTCAGCTAAAAGTAAGTGAATGAGCTGACTTTTAAATTTTGTCCTGAACCATCTTCTTCTGGCAACTCTTTTTTATTCCCCTCCACCAAGCTCCTTGAAAGCTTTGTTCTTGGAAGGTAAAAACAGTGGTACAATAAATGAAAAGTGGTTTATGATTTGTATTAAATATTTTTTTGTTGCGAGACAGCTTTATGTAGTAAGGAAGTCAAGACTTGGGAGTTGTTGCCTTCTTTTGGTTCATTGAGTTGGGGTTATTTTAGAAGTAGCATGAAATAGAAGGCAATTTTGAAAGGGAAATGGTAGGAGGAGAAGCAAAAATCAGGCAAAGAAAGCCTGATTTTCATTGTCTCATATGTTTACCATAATTTGTTTGGGAAAGTGCTCTCCTTTGCTGTGTTTCTGTTGATCATTCAGTCCTTCAGAGAAAGGTTACCTAGATAAAGTGTGCCATGGTAGAATTGCTTTTCTCAGTTCTGAGATATTTCGCTAATCTTAAAGAATGATAAGCATAGTAATAAAGTAATTTCTATGAAGAAAGCTTTCTGCATGTTTTTCCAAACTTGATATTTTGGTTTGCAATTGACTGTTGTCAAACTAAATTTCTTAAGACTATGTTTCAACATGTTTTGTTCTAAATACAATTTTTTAGGTATACTTCAAACTGTCTTGCTCTGGTTACATGCATGAATGATGAGCATAAATTGTCTTTCCTGAAGAAGTTATTCAATCCTGAGGAGCTGATACATTTCAGACTGAAGTAAGAACTTTAAAAATCTTGAACACTATTGTTTTTGTTGATGGCTTTCAGTTGAGTTAATAAACATGAATTTCACAGGCTGCTAGAAGAATCTCAGCTGCAGAATGTGGAACGAGCTCTTGTTTTGGCCAATCCAGACTCCTCTTTTTGTCAAAAGGAAAAAGAATTGCAATATACACAAGGATATATTGTATCGGGCGACCTCTCTGCAAATGTAGTAGCTATATGTGGTATTGTGCTGCCTAGATTACATCTTGTTTCTGAAGAGCAGGTATGTAACCTGGGGTTAAGTGTGTACCTTTTTTTTTAAGAATCCCTAAATGCTGTGAACTATTTCCTGCTTAAATGGTATTGAGATACTATGGGTAACGTATGTATCTTTGGCTTTTTTGGTGTGTGCCATAAGCTAGTGTTGCATAATATAGACACTGCAAAGAAGCTCTGCAGTGGGATGAAGCAATGAAGACATAATAGTGCTGTTCTGTATCTTCATGTAGCAGTTCTTATGACCATACTACAGAAGAATATTCAGCCTTACATAGTGTCTCCAGCCCAAGTTAGGGTGATATTCCATAGCTGAGTAAAGCCAGGATCTGGCACAGTTGCTTTTACCTGCATGAAGTATTTCTTTTGTGCTAAACAGATATCTTATGAACAGCCTTTCTCCAAACATATTCCTAGTTCTTCTCTTAAAACAAAACAAAACAAGGCTGCTACTTCCTCTTCTAGAGGGGGAACTTACTCTCTCCACTGAAGTGAAGTGTAAAGCAGAATGAAGTGCCTTATAGTTTTGGGAAGTCCATCAAAAGCATAAACATTTTTGAGCAGTGGTTAACCTTTTTTTCTCTTGAGAGACTGTTCACCTCGAACTGTTCAGGGTCTTCTTTGTAGCTGCAGCCAGTATTCTTGACTGGTTTTTCTCATTTAGGTACACTTTTAGCTCTTAGCTGAGTATTTCTATCTAATTTTGCAACGCTGATCTACAAATGAAGGACAAGGAGATGAATGAAGACTACCAATGTCCAGAATATCTTGAGTAGCAGAAGCAAGTGAAGAGGAATTTTCTCCTGTTGTGGTCTAAGCCTGGTTAACAGCCAAACACCACACAGCCGCTCACTCACCCTCCCCCCTCCTGGGGATGGGGGAGAGCATATAAAGGGGTAAAAGGAAAACAGACTCATGGGTTGAGATAAGAACAGTTTACTAACTAAACTACAAAAAATTGAAAATAACAATAACAGTAAAATATGCAAATAGACAAATATACAAATGAGTGATACACAGTGAAACTTCTCACCATCCAATGACCAAAGCTCAGCCTATTCCTGGCTAACGATCCCAGATCAGAGAGAGTCCTGAAACTGCAATCCCAGAAGAGCGATAGGAGCCCAACCATCCAAGAGACTGAGAGCTTGACAGAGAGCGAGACCCTACCCAGAGAGGGGCAGCCCAGAGGGAGAGAGAGCAAACTTTCAGACAGGTCCTCATCTATATACTGGTGCATGATAATATACCACTGGCCAATTTGTGTTTCAGTCCTAAACCTAAGATTGAATCCTAGGCTAGTGATTGGGGCTGTGCTCTCTCCCAGTTTCTCCTGCACCTGTAGACACTGGCACAGCAGAGAAGCTGAAAAGTCTTTAAGTGTTCTGGCAGCAACTATAAACATCAGTATGTGATCAGCCTTCTCAGTGCAGATCCAAAACACCGCCTCTTACTAGCTACTATGAAGAAAGTTAAGTGTGTCCCAGCTGAAAACAGGACACCTCCCAAATTCTCCCCCCACCAACTTCTGTAGTTGAATTTGCTGTATTCTAGGGTTTTTTTTTTTCTTTATAGGATTGACAATGTGGTTTGAAATCTATTGCCGCAGGGGAAACTGTAGAGCTATTTAAGGAGATTCTTATTCCTGTGCTAGTGTCATTGCTGAACTGTGCTGAAGCTAGGCCATGCTATAAACTGGGTTGCTGAAAGGATGCTCTTTGTCTATGGGGAGGAGAGAACTTCCCAAAAGGCATGCCTTTATTTTTTTAATACCCACAAGTATTTCACTGATCTGGTATACAGTGTAGATCCAATTATGTTGGGGACAGTTAGTTACAGCTGAGTAAGTCCAATGAAAAGGTGGGAGCAAATTATGAGGGAAAGCAGGTAGTCTTAAAAACTAGCATTGTGACCAGAGAAGTACCTGAAACTATATCTGAAAATAAGATCAAACTTAAATACAAGACACTTGTTTGAGTACAGTATGTACTTTGATTTCTTTTCTCTATGCCTTTTGTCAGGAAAGCAGTAGTTTTTGTGCCATATACTGGTATGTAAGTGACTGTAGAAGAGTCAAAATATTTTGAGAGTATCTGTAGCGTTGATTGATTAGCATTCAATAAGCTACGTTTATTGCACTTGGAATAAAACAAAAATGCTATTGATTTTGCCTCTTTCATGTGCTGAGTTTAATGATCTTATACTTTGGCCTAAAGTAAATGCAACAACCAATGTTCATACTTTCATCGTCTGGATCTAACTGTTCTTGCTCTTTTGATTTGTCCTGTGATCACTTATATTGCAAATTGTAACGTGTTATGATTGAATAGTTACTATGCCTGTACTGACAACTTAGTATGAACTCCTTTCAGGAACAAATTATGCATATACCTTATGAAGTGTTTCACCTACAAGAGGTTTTTGATGAAATCTATTTTAATATCTGTCATTAAATACAGCTTTAGAATCCTTTATTTTATTTGATATGCGTTGACAGATCTGCAGGCCAAAATTTTCTAGTTGGCAGGCTCGCTTTCCTAATTGTTCTGTTTTGTACAACCTGTTAAAAAAAGTAACAGTTTCAGTGTAGTAACTCGAATTTTATGTTTGAACAGGAAAATAACACTGGCCATTTTGTTTTGGTTGAATCTGCCTTCACAAATCTTCAAAACCTTGCTATTGCAGTGGCATATCAGAGACCTGTTTTATTAGAAGGACCAATAGGATGTGGCAAAACTTCTTTAATTGAATATTTAGCAGCTGTTACAGGAAGAGCAAAGCCTCCTCATATTTTGAAAGTCCAACTTGGGGATCAAACTGATAGTAAGGTAACTGGTGAAGTTCTTTCATGGTTGGATGAACAGACATTTTTACTTTAAACATGGGCTCAGTTTTCTAATAAGATAATGTTTAACTTTTTACCCAAAGACCCTGCAACCCCCGTCTCTGTAGTATTGGTCTTACTATTTATGGGAATAATTAAATGTGAAGAAAAATCACAAGCTTCAGTAGGTTTTAAATTCTGTGCAAATGACTCAAGCTGGTGACAATGGCTGTATGAGCACTTTTATTTCAGTTTGAGATAATGTCTGTTTAGTCTGATCGCAAATGGCTGTATGAGCACTTTTATTTCAGTTGAAGTGAGATAATGTCTGTTTAGTCTGATCGCGTTTTTTTGTGGTAAAGGTGAGATGAAAGTAATATCCTGTGATGCTGAGGACACTTCCACTTAGATAACAGTGATCTAGCTGTACCTGTAGAAAAGGTGAGATGAAAGTAATATCCTGTGATACTGAGGACACTTCCACTCAGATAACAGTGATCTAGCTGTACCTGTAGGGATAAAACCAGAGGTAGAGATAATTTCACATTCTTCTGGTTTGCATGTATAACTTTTGAGTTTGAATTGATTAATGTTTGGCTCAATTTATGTTCAGTTTTCCAAGTATCTAGGAGAAGTGCTATCTGAAGTTTTTTATTAGCATGCACAAGCACCTTCCTTACTTGCACAGACCAGCTGATTTCCTATTCTCTAGAAGAGTATCTTTTCATATACATGAGTAAGACTGTGTTCAAGGTACAAACTATGTAGTAGTGAAACCATAAACTTAATTATTTAAGGAATGCTTAAATGTGGAAGTTACAACTATACAGAGAAGCAACACTTGACTGGTTTTCTATCTTTGAATAACTTGCTTTACAATTTCTCTTACTAGGTTAGTCACAGAATTTTCAAAAATGTTAGAGTTCAGTGCAACCCTAGACAATCTGGTATGTTGTATGGTTGATTATTTGTTGATTATGGTGGCACAGCTCTGTAAATTCATTTCCAACTACCTAGTTCATTTTAATACTATGTTTCCATTAAATTAACAGATATGTGTAGGGGTGAAACTTTTTTTCTTAATTAAAAAAAAATGTAGTGCTGGGCACAGATTAACACACGGATTGTTTAGTAATGTGGATGCTAGGTACTTATACGCCAGCTTTGGTCATATTTGTGAGTTTTTACTCTGAGTTTTTAAGGGATGTAATGAACAGGTCTCTAATTTACTGTTTCTGTCGTAGACGCTGCTGGGTATGTATCGTTGTACAGATATACCAGGGGAGTTTGTGTGGCAACCTGGAACCTTGACACAAGCTGTTACCAAAGGTCATTGGATACTTCTGGAGGATATTGATTATGCTCCTCTGGATGTGGTATGTAGGTTAATGTTTGCTGTAAGGTGCTGGTCTTAAGGCCCATACTAGCAATTTTTGGAGTCCAATGACCATGAGTTCTGCAGCAGCATGCTGAAATTACTGCCCCTTTAAAAAGGGTTAGAAAGAATTAACCTGTCTGTCTTTGTTCACATATTAGGACATCGCATTTGTTTTTGTCATTGTTTAGAGTAGTCGTGACCCTGACACTGATGCCAAATTTCACTCTGAATATTTGAATTGACACTGATAATGAGTTATGTGTTTTTAAGTCATGGTTTAGTATTTGAAAACAAGTGTGGCCCCAAACACCACAGAATATCATCACTGTATTAGAGTGGTACTGTTAATAAGATTTTTAGTGTTTTATTGTGTGTTTTGTTTTGTTAATTTTTCTTACACATTTCTTACCTCTGGCTTGGATATTAAAAATGTGTTTTTGTACATTAGGCAGTACAGATCTTAACAGGTTTCCTGTTTTCAGCTCCAGAACAACTAGTTAGACTCCCATCCTTCCCATTTGGGAATAATAATGGCTGCTGAAAGAATATCTTATGCAAGAATTATGTCATAGAGATGTTTTGCTGTATAGGCCTGCTGGACATTAGGCAGATAGTTGTTTTCTTTCATATTTGTTATGTAAAGCATCCTTTGTGTGACTAAATAACCTGACAGCTTGTTTATTGGGTTCAGGGCTTCTGAAATACAGGGAATTTATAAGAAAGCCAAGAAATAACCCTTGTATATACTAGACAGGCTTTCACTGCCAGAGGGCCGTGCATGTATTTGCTTCTGTGGATTCAGCTCATTGCGCTTGTCATAAACATGCCCCAAGTAGTATCCTGCACTCATTTCTTCCTTTCTTCAGGCCTTCCCTGCAGGCATCCTGTCTCCTTTTTCCATATCAAAGTCTCCATGCTTGCCTCCCTGTGCTGAGGGATCATTGTGGTCTTACCTCTGTTTTTGCCTTCCATCATTATTACTGCTCTTCTGCGTGGAAGGATAGATTCTTTAAACAGATACCAAATTCTCCTGGGGGGTAGCAGGGTGTATACTGGAAAATGTTGGTTTTTGAGAATGACATCTTTGAGATGTAAGCCATCTTTGTTCAGGCAGATAAAGAAAATAAGGCTTCTGATGTGAAGGTGTCTAATAATTCATTTGACAATTCAGAATTGATATTTTTGATTAGACTTGCAGTGTAAAGACTGTCATTTCTGTTCTCTTCTCCTGTGTCCAGATTTAATGATAAAGAAAATAGGTAAATGTTACATTTGTGACTTCCACTGCTGATTAAAATTAGCAGGGACTCTGCAATTCCTGTTAGCATCACTTGTAAGTGCAATCTGCAGGAAGGGCAGTTGCTGACAATGTTGTGGTGCTCAGTGGAAATGCTGTAGCATCTTCAGTGTGAAATCAGTGTGGATGGGTGTGCTGGCTGTTACAGTTTCACAAAAAAGTTGTTTTATAAATTTTCTTCTCCAGATCTCTGTGCTGATTCCTCTTTTGGAAAAAGGAGAGTTGCTGATTCCTGGTCGCGGTGACTGTTTAAAAGTAGCGTCGGGGTTCCAGTTTTTTGCAACCAGGAGGTAGGTTTGTAAAGTTAAATGTGGTTAAGAGCGTGGATATCCTATTTTAGAGTCAAAGACAGGAAATGCAACGTACTTGGTCAGGAGTGTTTTAGAAATTCCCAATTAACAAGCAATAGAAGGCATAGAAGTTGTGAAAGGAATTTTTTCACTTGAGAGCAACTTTATATTACTACAGAGTGGATCCAGCCTTTGTGCAGAAAGGTCACTTCAGCAAGGCTGAAGAAATGAAACTTGCTGGGGGAAACCCTACAAAATCAGCCCTTCTCCAAAACAAAATGCTACTCTCAGCAGTTACTGTGTGAAGAAGGTTTGTGATTGATATTCACAGGGTGTCTTGACTTGCTGGTTCTAACAGCACCTGTGTAAATTATTTCTTAGTTTTGTTGATCTTGGGGTAGTTGGTAGTCTGACTACTGAATGTGATTAGCTTTCTGGTTTTGCTTTTTATTCCATCTCCTTGAGCAGTTGTATACACATGTTCCCTGGAAGATACATTTTTTAAGAGTTCAATGAATAATTTTAACTGAACCCTGCATCTATAATAAAGTTATTTTATTCGGGAATTATGAAAAAATAAATAGAAGGAAATTTTCACAAATCAGGTTTTTTTTTTTTTTAAGTCTTGTGTCAGTGTAGAGGTTTCTAATGTTTTCTAAACAGAAGAAGATCTAAGGTACTCTGCCTGATGGTTTTACTGTAATAATGTTTCATGCATCAGATGTTAAAATGTTGTCTTGTATATTAAGACATAATATTGTACCAAGATTCAGGGTTAGGATATCTAGAAGGGGAATGGTTACATGGTTTTCACCTGTTTTGTAGTTTATTTCAAAGCCTTTAACAAATTTTCCTGCTTTTGTCTTCCTTCCATAAATTTGTTCTTTTCTTTGATTTATCTGATCTTTTTTTTTTCTGGAATTGAGTCTTTTGGATTCAACTCTTTTTTGGTTGTCTCATCTCCTAAGATTTTCTTTCTCTGTATACTTGGTCAACAGTTTGTATAGCAGCAAATTATAGTTTCCGTTGGGCTAGTTGTTGCAGATTCAGTAAGTCTGCTGCGGTTTCCAGCTATGGTATATTATTAAAAAAACCCCAAAAGAAAAAAAAAACCTCCAAAAAACTACAAACCCAAACCAAACAAAAAACCACCAGAAAACAAAAAACAAACCACAAACCCAATATCTAATGCTTTGTATGTGCAAGACTTCTTCCACAGTGGGTGTAACACTTGGCTGCATAGTTATTGTGCATTAAAAAAAAATGCACTGAAAATGTTGAATTCTTCATCAAGACACACTGTGTTTCTTCATGTTTTGATTTAGGTTATTCAGTTGTGGTGGAGGGTGGTACAGGCAGCAAAGCAGCCATGCTGCTCTTTTGGACAAATATTGGACCAAAATACATTTGGATAACATGAGCAAAGGAGAGCTCAAGGAGGTATGGTGTGTGTTGCTCTATTGTGGCATGTGAATAATTGTTTCAATTGAAGGGTAATAAATGTTTTTCGGTAATAAATTTGATCTTTACTTTTATCTCCAAGTTCCACAGTACATACATTTCAGATTTATCCTGCTGATTTTGAAGCAAATGGGCAGTTTGTCAGGAAAATTTGAAGTGACCTGGACAAAGATTCCTGGAACTTGCCTTGTCAAACAGAGTTCTGCTTTGTATGGGTCTATGAATCAAATTACTTTGCCATTTTGTAGCCCACAGAGATTTAAAAGCAGAAAAAGAAAAAAGAAAATTGAGCTCACTCTAATCCTGAGTTCTAAGCTTTGAGATGAAAAATTGGTCAGTTATCAATTACAAATAGCTGTTCTTATTGACATCTTTCGTTAACATCTCTAAGGAATGTTTGCTTTGTGTAGTCCTTCAAAAAACTGAAGGAGCCCAGGGCTTAAATTAAAATAGAATTCTCTAGAGATTCTCCCTGTGATTTTAAGACTCTTGCTGAAGGAAAAAAGGGGTGAATAGTTTCTGGCAGAAGAGTTGAGGAGAAAGTTCTGAATCTTCTAGGATGAACAAGATCGTTTTTCCATAGAAGTCATTCACTCCTTGGGACTCAATTCAGCAGCCAGCACAGTTACGGTTGACCTTAAATATCTGTGTGTTTTTCAATTCTTGACATTTGTCAGCTAATTGTTAGGAATCGGGCAAAAACAGCACTTAATTTTGTGCTTGTATATTTTTGTTGGTGGGGAAGCAAGATGATGTACAGGGAGGCTTCTGCAGACAGTTTGCTGGAAATACAGACACTTGTGTGCTGTAGCTGCTTCTACTACAAATAGATCTACATGGGCAGAAATTCTAGGAAGCTCACAGTTGCAGTATTAAAAAAGGCTCTCTGGCTAAAGATTTTCTTGTTTTGTTTCGTTTTTCTTCTTTCAGGTTCTTCAAAGGAGATACCCCAACCTTGCTCTTGTAACTGATCACTTGCTAGACATTTACATTCACCTTACGGGAGACAAGTATCAGGCATCAGAAAACAGTGCTTCTGGCTCCAGGCACATAGCAGAAGATTCATCAGAATCAAGATCAGAAAATAAGAAACCATATCTGGAAGGACGAGAACTATCTCTGAGGTTGTCTTTTCTTATATGTTTATTAGGAGGAAATTTAGTCTGCTGACTGCAGAGACAGATTTATCATTGTTAGTTTTCTTAATTTTTTTAAAATAGTGACAAAAGTTTCAATAATTAAAGTGGAATTTCATAAAAACTGGGAAAAATCAAATTTTCATTTTAAAATAATGTATAATGTATCTTTTTTAAAAAAAATCTCAATTGGAATTATTTAGGACTCCCTGTTTGCTTTTTTTTTCTGAGGAAAAAGTGTAGGTTTTGTCACATGTGGTGCTGAGTTGGTATATGGATTACCACTCAATTCATCTTAACACAAAGTACCAGTTCTAGTTAAGAACTGAAATGTGCTGTATAATAATAATAGCTAGTAGATAATGTTTTCAGCAATTGTATATATTTCCTTATCTAGATAATTTCATATTAAACACATAGCACTCTAACTTAGAGATGACTGAAAATAACCGGATTTGTAGTGTAGTATTAATTTCAGAATTTTTATGATTAAATGCAGTTTGATGTTCAGTTATTTGTTCCTCTTGTACCAAATGTTGATTCCACTCGTGGAATATCTGTAACCAGTAATGCTTTGTGAATCACTAAGTAAATACTAAGTGTGGGTTGTACCTGATACTTTTGTGAAGCATAATAATGTCACCAATTTTAAAACAGCAGTTGTTTTTCTAGACTTAGATGTTTTGTTTTCTTGCCTTTCGGAGGATTTTTTTGTTTATAAGGAACCAGTGTCCTGAAAAAATAGGGTTTTATACCTTTTTCGATTAAAAGCTTGCTGCTTCTAATTTTTTCTATTTCGTAATTACTTTATGGTTAGTGGAGTATGTATTATCTGTTTCTAAGCAGTGTATCTGAAAGCAACACTGTTAGTCTTTGTCTGCTCAGCTACTCTTTAGAATTAGCATCGTATTTTTATGTGTCTTCTAGTGTACAAATTACACAACAACTAACTGTGCAATTGGCAAAGATGATGACCTGAGCTGAACATGAAAGAAGTTGCTGTGCGTTTTGGCTTGATTATACTAAATCTTTTCATTTCTCTTTTTTAGAGACTTACTGAATTGGTGCAGCAGGATTGCTTACAACTTCGACAGTAATTCTTCAACCACAGCAGTGAATATTTTTCAGGAGGTGTGCAGTAAGACTTGGTCCAGAAATTGCTTACCCAAATTCTAACATTGTCTCACAAATCTTAAAATACTCTATTTGGGAATGTGAGAAGGGAATTTATGTTTAGTTTTATCTGAAGCAATTGGACTGTAGCTGGAATGTTTGTGATTCCTCTGTTGGAGGCTTTCCTGACTACTGGGAAAATTGTTTGCAGTAATGTGCTGAAAGCCAATCAAGGCTTACTACTGTCATATAAACAGTATGCTGCAACATAATTTTAACTGATAGGAGCTGGGATCACATGTAACTGAGACTAAAAGGTTTAATATATTTTTCTTGTAATATGAGGCTTCTGTCCTGTATTCCTATGCATCAGTTTACATTCCAGGTTTCAAATTTTTTGGTTGTGCATCAGTCAGAGGTAGTTTTTAGATATGAGCACTTACAGCATTACTTCCTTCTCCATTTTGGTCCATTCATCTAAAAGTATGTGATTGGGCATTGAAAAGTTTTTGCTTTCAGTAGAAACCCAGTACACTACAGAGTTTGGAAGTTCTTATTACATCATTTTGAACTCCATTGTTTGACTCAATCTGTGGACAGTGAAATAATTGTATTTACCATGGCTGGGTTGGAGTCAGGCTCATGTAAATTCAGATGGTGCTTGTCAGATCGAATTATACAAAATTTATATTGAAGAAGTTGGTTTGTTTTCCCTTCAACAGGCATTGGACTGTTTCACAGCTGTGCTGTCCAGCCAAGGGAGCAGACAGAAAATGGCAAAAGTTATTGGAACTAAACTAAATATTTCCAAGAAAAAGGTATGTTGAGCTATAATTAACTGATGTTTCTTAGTAATATTCTATAACTTGCAATTTTTCTAGTGATTAATTTAAATGTGTTTGCTATTTTTCTTAAAAATTATGCCCATCTCTCTGTTCCAAACACTTTTTTTGCTTTTTGTACTCTCCTGGGATCTACGTTTTTCTCCTGTTTTATTTTCAGCTGCATTTTTTTCTCTGAAAGTTCCAGTTAACCTGTTTCAGAACAGGCTACAAGTGGCTTCATCATGCAAAAGAAGGTTCACACAGATGGAACAGCACAGTTGCCTAAGCACATGATACTGTTAGATGCACAGAGTAGTAAAGAATGTATTTTTTACTTGGGTGGTTACAGTGAACTTTAATCGCTTAAACGACAAGATCAGATAGAAACATAGTCTTCCTTACTACTTGTTCTGTAATCATTGATTCCAAAATCAAGTACCTCTCTAGAGGCTAGTAACTGTCGATATATTAATAGTATGTGATATAAATGGCTGAGTTAAACTAAATTATTAATTTGTCAAATATTTCTGACTATAGAAGTTTGACTGTGAAGAAAATTCCCTCCTTTGTTACTTTAAGACAGAAAAACTTGCCAGATGGGTGGACAGATGGATCCCTGAAACTTCTATGTTTTTTTGTTTGCCCTTCTTCCTTTGCTTTATTTCAATACAGAAATGTATTATCCTATGCCAATGGCAAAATATCCTTGTTTACACTGAGGTATTCACCAAGGCTTTTTTGAGGGAGGTTGTTTATTATTAGTTAAGATAACTGATCCTAGGTTCAAGTTCATGTGAGTGAACTACCATGGAAGTAGATGAAGTAGAAATATAATGGCATAGATCCATTGCCAAGTTTATGAAATAGAAGGATGTTGTTTTTGCAGACAATAACACTTCAGAGGTCCTTCAGTATTTTAAGTGATGAGTATGTAAAACCTGCAAAATATAAAATCTTATCGTGAAAAATTAGCTTGCTGGAAAGTAATACTGGTAGAGTAGCATGGGTGTTCTTCGTGTGACAACACTAGTATTGGAAATGTTGGTGCTTCCTTCACAGGTGGAGTTCTTTTGTGAACTGTATAAACCAGAAATTCTAATACGGGAACAAGAAGTCTCTGTCGGAAGAGTGCATCTCCGGAAGAAACAAACCCAGGCTCTCACTGTACAAAGGTAGAATATCTTCTCATTTTCATGTGAATTAAAATATTTTGTGGTGGAATAGAACAGATTGGAGGTTACAGGATTTAAAAAAAAAAAAGGCAAATTGGATATTCTCGCTCTAATGAAAGGAATGTGGTTATTTTTTTTTCTCTTGTGATCTGAGTTTTTATTTTGTGCGTTAAGGCTGTCTGGATCGTACTCCTGGCAGCCAAAGCATGGAGATTTTCAGCTTCTTTTGGACTAGAGTTTCTTCAAAGCAGTGTGGATCCACAGCTGTTATGATAAGTTTTTGATTAATCTGTCTTTGTAAAGGGAGATTTTTGTAGTATGTGGCACTAACTACTGGCCAAGAAGTTCTTTGGAAACCCTGAATTTCTAGGTTGCATCTCGAGAAAAATAAGTATCTTATAAGGGTATCTTGAAACTAATTTTTTCCAGACCTATATTTTTAATAATTTAAAAAAAAAAACCAAACAAAACCCCAAAATTCAACCACTCATCTAAAAAATAATAAAAATAAAGTTGAAATGAGCTCCTTGATAAATCTTGGGTTTGAGTTGCTTCCTTTGTTTTTTCAGAGCAAAACAAACCTTTGCTGCTACACGGCCATCAGCAGTATTGATTGAACAGCTTGCAGTTTGTGTTGTCAAAGGAGAGCCAGTGCTCTTGGTTGGTGAAACAGGAACTGGCAAAACATCAACTGTTCAGTACCTTGCTCACATTACAGGTAAATAAAGTGTGAAGGCTGTAACTTAGACGAAGATTATTTAACAACAAACAAACAAACTGCACAAGTTGATGGTGCTTTCTGTTTCTGTTTCAAGGACACCGTTTGAGGGTTATCAACATGAACCAACAAAGTGACACGGCAGATCTGTTAGGGGGGTGAGTCACTGACAGCTGGTTTGTCTGTTCTCTGTAGCAGATTGTCAGTATCAGAACAACCTTCTAATGCTAGTATAGTTGTATTGTCAAAGAATTGTTTTCAGACGTGTATCTGTTTCATAGTAGCATATATGTCTTAAGAAACGTATTTGCACACAGAAACCTTGTTGTCCTTGCTGAAGAAGAGAGACTGAATTCACTGAATTGTGTGCACATCTGTATGTGATGAAGTAATTTAAAATCATAGCCCCATGTCTCTTTAAAAATGGCTAAGCTGTTCAATTGAAATCAGATATAGTATTCACTGGGCATACTAGTTGGTAGTCGTAAAAATATTTTACTTACCAGGGTGGTCCTGTCTTTATAAAGTTGCCTCATAAGGTGCATTTAAATATGTGCGATTTTTACTTTGCTCATTAATTGAGTGAAAACAGTGGAAACCAGGATTTCTTTGTGCACAGTGTTGTTTCAGTAATTGTTTTTGTTAGTTCACAGATGCTAGTTCCTGTTCCTGTGTCACAAATAAGTATCTACTTTTTTGCTTCTCTTCAGGTACAAGCCTGTGGATAACAAGCTGATCTGGCTACCTCTGCGAGAGTCTTTTGAAGAACTCTTCTCTCAGACGTTTTCTAGAAAGAAAAATCAGACATTCTTGGGACACATTCAGACCTGCTACAGGCAGAAACGTTGGCTTGATCTGCTAAAACTAATGCAGCATATTCATAAATCTGCTGTTAATAAGGAAGCAAAAGAAAATGCATCTGGTGAGAATTCAGAATGATCAAACACACATCCTTAGCCATGAAACATTGCAGAAAGTAGAAAAATAGTGGTGAATTGTTTGTTGATTTGGGGTTTTGGGTTTTTTTTCTTTCATCATTCTTTATTAGTTACTTTCTTCTAGTTTTGAAAAATGCAGTCTCCATCTACACCAAGGCATTCAAAATACAGTTAGAATATTTTCTTTTTTCTTTCTAATCCATCACTGTTGCTGGCTATGTCTGACAGAGTGAAGGTTGACTTCTTTGACCTATGATGCCCTTGACATCTGATCTCCACTCAGCACTTACTTGTTTGCTCTGTTGGTAAACAGTCCTAGTTTTTTGTGTGGCAGTCTTCTATATGAATGCATTCATAGTTTCTTTCAGTCCTAGGTCTCACAAATGTATCCTATTTTAAAAACAAAGCAAAACAAAACAACAACAGCAAAAAAAAAAAAAACACCAAGTAGTAGCTCTCTTAGGGTAGTAATGACTTTAAAAGCTTGCTGAGAGCTTGCTGATGACTTTGGTTTCACTGTCAGTGATGCTGACTTGCCTAGTTCTTTACTTTGTTTCATTGTAGTTTTGTCTCCCAAGTAACAGTTTTTTCTTGTTTGGTACTTAACAACACATTTGGGACAAAGGCAGTATTGAAGCTTTGCCTTGTGTCAGGTAGTTTCTGGTTCTAGACCCACTGAACCAGTGAAGTAGCTTTCATTCAGCATGGGCCAAGGACTTAATTATGAACCTTGTCTCCCTTTTCCTTTTAACTGGTTCTTCTGAATATATCTATATTACAATAAATGGCCACACACAAAAAAAAAAGATGAGGTTTTAAAGACCACTTGTTGCAAGTATTGACAGTCCTAAAAGAAAGACAATCTGAAAGCAGTAAGTTGCAAAGCTAGCAACTTAAGTCATTGTGATGCTGTATATACCTCAGTCTGCGACTTTAAACAAATAACTGACATGAGTGCAACACTAAGTAATGTCATAACTGATAAGCAACGGTGTTTTTACTGGTACTGCAGTGTTCATTGTTAATCTGTTCTGTCATAAGGTTTGTAAATTTGGTTTTATTTTTCCAAGATGCCTCTTTTCAGGAATTGAAGAGTGGTGACAGTCACACTGGAACCAAGTGAATTGTCAGCTTAAGTATTTGTTCCTAAGTTAGGACATACTGGAATGAATAGCAAGTTATCTCTACCCATATGTCAATAATGTTCAGCTAAAGTTAAAAAAAAATCAGCAATTTTTTTTTAAATTCATGAGATGTCATCTGTAGAACTTTAATGTTTTCTTTGCTCAGCCAAGTTTACTCTTGTATCTGTGCTTGAAGCAGCTTGATTAAAATACTTTTGTTAAACACCTTGTGTTACTGTTCTGATGGTACAAGCTTAGATTTGTTTTGCTTACAGGCTCACCACTGAAGGAAAAGTGGGAGGCATTTGGTCTTAAACTGAATCATGCTCATCAACAGATGAAAATGACAGAAAATGCTCTTCTCTTTGCATTTGTTGAGGTATTTAGAGATTTACATTTTGATGCTAAAAAGAATAAGGAGGATCATTTAAAATACTTTGCAATCTGTATTATATAAAAAACTTCCTGGCAAGAGTCTTGCTGTGAAGTAAAACTTGTTCCATGATAGCTCTGCGGAATGAAGTGTGCTACTTAAAGGAGGCGGTGGTTAGATGGGGGGTGAGGTGGGAGAATGTTTAGTGGAAACACATTAATTCAATGCTGTATAATAGGAATTAGGACTGGTATGATAAAGGAATATCAGCAGTATGTTATATAATCTTTTCAAGTGCATGGGATTAGAAAAAACATCTTGACCTGTCTCCAGTAGGACATGTTCCTGCCTGGGGATTCCTGTGAAGGATTTAATATTAAGAATCTGTGCTGTTTATCTAGAAGTGATTTTTTTGAAATGATGCAAACCCATGGTGTAATACTCTAATGACATTAAGTGTTATTGGGGGAAACTATGATGGTTTATGTATGTTTGTTCCTTGTCATCCTATTAGTCTGAATATATGTTCTCAAATTTTATGTAAAGTGTGTAAAATATTGATCAGTCCTCTTTCTAAAAACTGACTATATAAATAGTTGGAGAAATTTGACTTCAGCGTAGTTTTAGTTAATAAGTTATAGTTCCCTGAGGAACATAATGTTGCTTGTGTCTTTGTTTGGATTTCTTTAGATTAACTGTCTTTATTCTCATAATAGTGTCAGTGAACTTTATGCAACACAGTGATGGATATCATGGACAGGCAACACTGCACAAATAAGAGAGCTTAATTCTGTTATATCTGAGTTAGTGTAAATGGCACTGATCGGGGGGATAACTGTCTGGCTTCTGCGACTTGTGAAATAATTGCTGTTGTTGAGGGAGAGCGGTAAAACTGCTATTGCTGTAAAAGGTCTGGAATTGCCATTTGTCTAATCAATCCATGGACTGCAAAACAAGTATTTCTGGTATACAGATGCTTTAGTTGATACATCACTGCTGGTGACGCGATTAACAAATTGGTCTTATTTTTAGGGTACTTTGGCACAAGCAGTAAGAAAAGGAGAGTGGATTTTATTGGATGAGATTAACTTGGCTGCAGCAGAGACTTTAGAGTGCCTGAGTGGTTTGTTGGAAGGATCATCTGGGTCACTGGTGTTACTAGACAGAGGAGATACAGGTACTACTTCTGTGCTTGCTTATGCTGTATCTTGCTATCCTGTTTGTTAAATTCCCCATCCAATATGGCTCAAAAAAGGTTGAGAATGTTTACCATTAAAATGAATGTGTGCAGAAAAGAATAATGTGTTCTCTCTAGACTTCATGCTTTTATGCAAGAAGTGGGACTTCTGATTCACTGTGGCTCAGGAGATTTCAGCATGGAGAAATGGTTGTAGTTTCTGCTGTTTTGGATTCTACAAGGGGCACATTTTACTAATAGCCTTAGTGACCATTGCTGTCTCTAAAGACTCTTCAGGGAGTTTCTTTTTTTTTTTTTTTGCTACTGTAGTAACTGTCTTTCATTGATCTTGAGAATATATGTTCTCCAGCTAGAAAGACGTGGACAAGGTCTTTGATTTTTGAGTCCTTCTTGTGGGTTGGCTGAGCATGATGTTGTATGGTAGGGAACATTGCTTTGGCCAGTTTGGGTCAGCTGCCCCAACAGTGTCCCCTCCCAACTTTTTGCTCAGTCCCAGCCTAGTTGCTGCGGGAAGCAGAGCAGAGTGGGGAAAAAGAGAAAGCTTTGATGTGCCAGCACTATTCAGAAATAGCCAAAACATTGGTGTGCTCTCAACACACCATAGGGGCTGCTGTGAAGAAAGTTAACTCCTTCCCAGGCAGACCCAGTACACACCTAAAGGTAAAAAAATGCAATTGCTTAATGGCGTTTTCTGGAGCTACAGATAGAGGCCAATGTATGTGCTTCCTAAGCTGGGTTTTCTTCCTGGCTGAGGGAAGCACTGCCCGTTGTTCTGGAAGAGGCACTAGGAGTTCCAAGGTTAGGGCTTACATGTTTCTTTTAAATATTCAGAGTTGTTAAAACGTACTGCTGTGCGCAAATAAAAGTCAGATTTTCACTTGCCTCTGGCAGTTGTAAAGATGCAGAGAGACTTCTGATAAAATTACATGGGATTACTCTCTGAAAACTTTACACCCTGAAGTTTTAAGAAAATGTAGTAGTGCAGTAATAGAAAACTGGCTTGGAAGAAATATACCTCATTTAAAATAATAAGGTTTAGCATTAACCTTAAGTCTCTTATTTCTGTTTTCCTTTAGAGCCTCTTGTCCGTCACCCTGATTTTCGCTTGTTTGCATGCATGAATCCAGCTACAGATGTTGGAAAGAGAAATCTTCCTCCAGGAATAAGAAACAGGTAGGAAACAATGAAATATTTAGTCAATGTATTTTTCAGAGTTTAACTAGCTCCACAAGTTGACCCAGTGCTGAGTGCCTTATTTGAAGCTGGAGGATGTTAAGTCTGAACTTAAATTAACTTCCTGTGGGAGGTGCTTTCCACATCATGGTGAAGGTTTTCATGAAATAGCATCACGAAAATACTTCTAAAAAATAGCTGAGCATGAACAGATGGTCTAGCAGTAGTGTAGTGTTGTCCTTTGGGGCAGGAGAATGATCATTCTTTACAATTAAGCTGTCAGTGCCTGGGAATGCTGCTGCAGCAGTTTGTGTGCCTGGTGGGGATAATAAAGACAAGTGCTTTGTGTCTGCTTAGTAGCCTTTTTCTTGATAACTTGGAAGTGTTGATGATCCATGCGAAAAGCTGTATATCCAGCCTTGTTCACTCAGAAGGAAGGTGGTTTGCAAGGTGGAGCAGATGTGTGACGTTGAAAATATTTGATGTGTGATCTTCAAACATTTAAGCTCGGCTGTGAAATTGGAGTTGTGGCAAATCCATTCTTCAGTTTTGCCTGTTCCTGAACGCGAAGATCATCTGCTTGTATTTGGTGCAGTTTCCCTCACAAGTGCCAAAAGTTGCACGTGTAGTCCCTTGCCAGAGTCATAAACACTGCACAAGACTGTAGAGATGCAGTTACTATATGTAACTAGTCATTTGCAGTTATTAGTGGCAAAGTAAGGTTTTATTGCTATTAGTTCTTCTGGCTTAGTAGTGAAAGGAAAGAGAGTGAGTGTAATACAAAGAAAGGAGACTTCAGTTTCAGCATGGCTTATTAAATGTAAATTAGTTCATATTTGCGTTTGTCAAAAATATTCACCCCTCTGAGGTTAATGGTGTTGCTCATTTTTTTGGGTCTGCTGTGGTGTATCCTGAGCTATTTGCAGTTCTAATGCATGGTGTGGAAGGGCTGCAGACTCCCTTTCAGCAACCAGTGCAAATATACTGGACTAACTAATGGTTAGAAAATATGTTCATCAACTGGACCTGCCAGTCTAGTGTACCAAATGTGCAACACTGTTGACATATTTAAAGATACATACAACTTCACTGAGCACATGTTTTGCTGATAATTTTCCTTTGCTTATTGTCAAGTTTTCTCATTTTATCATTGCTGAGACGGATATTTGTAAAAGCAGAAACCAACCTCAATATGCTTGTTCTGGATATGCTAGTCAACACAAAATTGGAATAAGTGATATCTCATAAGTGTTCACTTTTTAAAATAGAGATCATTAGAGAGTCCACTTTGAAAAGTGCTCCTGTTGTGTCAGTTCTCCAGTGTTCAGGCTATGTTTGGATATCTATTGCAAATTGTTGAAATTTTTAACTTTCAAAAATACAGTCCCGTAGTTCATTTTCAGTCTACTAAGTTAAAATAATTCAGATAAATTACTTAGAAACAAGCTATTACTAGTACTTTATTTTAATTACTCTGGTTCTTTAGTTCATCTATAGGTAGTTTGAGGAGTCAGTATTCTGCTGCTTACAAAATGCTACATGTTATATGCCATGACAATCATACACAACATGATTTTTTTATTACTATTATTGTCAGATGTCTGAGTGTTATGGATTGATTTGATTCTTGTAGGTTTACTGAACTTTATGTAGAAGAATTAAGAAATGAAGGAGACTTGCAAGTTCTTATCATGGATTATCTGAGAGGCTTGAATGTGAACAAAAATACGGTACAAGGAATTGTGAAGTGAGTTGGTTGTAATCTCTTTAAATCGTTGATGGAATAAGTCACAAAAAGAAAGTATGTAACTGTAGTCTGTGGTTAGACTGTTTTGGGAAACACTATAATGCTCCCTGCGCATCAGTTTGCATAGCCTTAGGAAATTAAAGAGGGTAGACGTCCATTCTCTTCATTCTGAAGGTTTCTGTATTTGTGTGGAGGAGATTCAGTTTTTCTTATTCAGAAGTGCTTTCTTGGTGGCACCAGTTAAAAAGCGTTGTTGCAGTCTTCTTTTCCATCTGAGAGACTAAAGTTATTTGTTTCTGTAGATCATACCAATAAAAGGCATATGTGTTTATCAAGTTACTTTTCTTTCCCCTAGTTTAGGGTGTGTTATCTCACCTGAAGAACTGCTACGTGTTTGGAGTACTTGAGTTAGTAGTCATTCTCTGTATATCAAGCTCATTCAAAAATAAGGTTCTAAAATATTCTGTTGCTTTGCTTCACTGACTACACAGATGACAGAGTTTGGCATGTCTTTCCTAACCTGGAGCCTTTAGAAAAAGTGACAGTTGGAGATAAGCTTAAGTGTTTGTACTTTGGGATTAATGCCTTAGAGCAATGCTCTGATCAGTAACAGCACTATGTAACTGGATGTGGTTTCTCTCAATTTTTGCAGCTTTTATTTATCTGTGAGGAAGGAAGCAGAAGCAAAGCTGGTGGATGGAACTGGCCACAGACCTCACTATAGTCTCCGTACGCTTTGCAGGGCTTTGAGATTTGCGGCGTCTAATCCGTGTAGTAGCATACCACGCTCACTATATGAGGTGATTACGTATGTTGGGATTTCTTTCAATGTGTGTTCATTCCAGAGATTGCCAGGGTAAAGAAAAATCTTCTAAGTGCAGTATTGAACAGAAATGATTCTTTAATCTCTACATTTTTTGTCTTAATGATTTTTCTTTTTATCACTGAAAATAACTCTTCTTCTTAGGGCTTCTGTTTGAGTTTCCTGACACAGCTTGACAGAGTTTCTCACCCAGTAGTTCAAAAGCTTATTTGCCAGCATATAGTCTCTGGCAACATCAAAAGCCTTCTCAAGCAGGTAAGTAACTAAGCCTATATAGAGCTGTTTAGTATGCAGAATAGAATTTACTTAAAGTTGCCTTCTCCCGCCTTGTTCCTTTGCATTTCCTTCTTGCGGTCCTGTTTTTCGTGTTATAAAGATAAGAACTAAAAAAATTTAATGCTGTTTCTTCATAATTTTTTTCACTTCTGATTGAAATGCCCATATGTTAGCTAGTTTATTTGTTAGTTTGAAAAAATGTGGAAGTCTGAATAATTATAGCCTTGTGGAGTGTGGGCAGCTTAATACAGTGGCTCTAACTGTAAAGCTTTCACAGTCTTTTGAGGAGCTTTCACAGGCTTTTTATTTTTAGACTCCGAATGCGGAAGGATTCAAAGTAAACATCTGTGCCTTGTCTCTAATGGCAAAGGAAGAATCTCACTAGTTCTGAAGCCCAGCATGAGTTTGTATAGGGGACTGGGCAGGTGGTATGGGAGGCCAGTTGTAGGAGTTATGTATTTGTTTCAGAATAAAGCCCTTCATATTAGATAAAAAGAAAAGCCAATTTCCTGTTTGGAAGCGTGCTTCAAGATTCAGTGCTAGCACTCTTGAGACACTTCTATCTTCATGACACTGGCAAAGATTCTTGCTTCGTGACCTTGAAAAAAAATTGGTCAGGCTTTTCCTGTAATTAGCATTCTGTGACAAGGGGGAAGTGCTTACTGCAGGAGTGCTAAGGGATTAGTTTAAAATGACTTCTTAAAGACTATGTTGCAGTGGATTAACAGTGGTTGTCTTCGTTAGCAAATTGAAACTAATTTGTGTAATCTGTTACTTCTGTCATGTCTCCTTAGCAAATCCCAAAACCCCAAGGAGGCAGATTTGTGTTTATAGAAGGATACTGGATTTCAGCTGGGGATAAGGAACCTACTGTGGATGAGACTTATGTGCTAACCCCTTCAGTTAAGCTTAATCTGAAAGACATTGCCAGAGTTGTGTCTGCAGGGTATGTCTGTTTCAATTTTTCCATTAAAAAACTAAATTAGAGATGTTTATTTGGACCTCAAGTGTTGATGCTTGTCTAACCTTTACTGTTTGGCGTGAATAATGTCCATTTTGCTTCTACTTTATAATTAAACTTCCGTTATACAGTGACTTGAATTTATACATGTATGTCTTGTCTCCTTGAACCATCTTACTGCCATACCTAATTTTATTTAAATTATAATATAGAAAATTGCAGTCAGAATAACCTGCTTATTTCACATTGCCATGTAAACCTTCATGGGTAGCAGTGGGGGGGTAAAGTTGCTTATGTTCTCCTATTAGTGTGCGATCTTGGATACTCCAAGTGAGTTAAGGAGTGATAATTTTGGTAATGTAGTTTGATAATGTAGATCTGTGAAAATTTCAAATAACGTTGGTATCTTGTGTATGAGAAAGACATGACTAAATGACTGTTTTCATTATCCCTTTTAGGACTCATCCAGTACTGATTCAAGGAGAAACCTCAGTTGGTAAAACCAGTTTAATTCGCTGGTTGGCTGCTGCTACTGGGAACCATTGTGTAAGAATTAACAATCATGAGCATACTGACATCCAGGAATATATTGGCTGTTATACGTCAGATGCCTCTGGGAAGTTGGTATTTAAGGAAGGTGGGTGAGCATATTATATTAACTGCAAATTCCTGTCTCACTTCACTGCTTTTTTAATTTTCTTTTCTGCCTAACTTGTCTGATTTATTACGATGGAGAGATGATCTGTCATAAAGTTAGTAGTTGCATATTAAAACTTCTGTGAATTTCAGTGAATTCTTAAGAGTTCCCATTTGTCTCATCATACTTTCTCTATTGGACATAAAAAAAAGAATTCAACAGCTTAAACAATACTGTTGCTTCTGTTTCTGCATTTATACTGAGTGAAAACTGGTTTCTAAAAGTATGTGAAATGCATGCTTCTCTTAGATTTAGATCTTTTGACTAGAATTTTTCCTGTTCCCTCCAAGGCATCCTCATAGATGCAATGAGAAAGGGTTACTGGATTGTTCTAGATGAACTGAATTTGGCTCCCACTGATGTTCTGGAGGCTCTCAACCGTTTGCTGGATGATAACAGGGAGCTGTTCATTACTGAGACCCAGGAAGTTGTCAAGGCTCACCCTCGCTTCATGCTGTTTGCTACACAGAATCCTCCAGGACTCTATGGTGGCAGAAAGGTTTGTATAATCTCTCCTTTGAGTAGCTATGACTCTAGGGAGTGAATCTCCCTTATGTGAAAGTGTGATGTGAGGTTTCTGATGTGTGGCACAGAATTAACATGACACTCTCAAGAGGCAGAGAGTTGAAGTGGCTGTGGACTAACTTTCAATACAGCTGCGTTCTGTTTAGCTTAGTTGCTTGTTTTGCAGATACCAAATTTCTGATTCATTTGAATAGTTGAGATTTAAGTGCTCTACTGAACTGGAGTTCATGTATGTTATAATTCATTAAGCATTTCTTGCTCAAGAGCACTGGAGAAGAGACTTTACATAGACTATTCATGTCCATTTTGTACCGGTTTTGGCTGGAATAGTTAAATTTCTTCATAGTGAATGCTATGATGCTGTGTTTTAGATTTGTGACCAAAACAGTGTTGATAAAACGAGGATGTCTTAGCTGTTGCTGAACAGTACTTGCATAGCATCAAGACCTTTTCTGCTTCTCACACTGCCCTGCCAGCGAGTAGGCTGGAGGTGCACGAAAAGCTGGGAAGGGGACACAGCTGGGACAGCTGACCCCAGCTGACCAAAGGGATATTCCATACCATGTGATGTCATGCTCAGCAATAAAAACTGGGGGGCAGGATGAAGAGGGAGTTGTTTGGTATTTGTTTCCCCAAGCCCTGCTTTCCTGGAAATTGCTGAACACGCTGCTGATGGGAAGTGGTGAATGAATTCCTAATTTTGCTTTGTTTGTGCATGTACTTTTTCCTTCACCTATGAAACTGTCTTTATCTCAGCCCACAAGTTTTCTCACTTCTACCTTTCCGATTCTCTTCCCCATCCCATTATAGAGGGAGGGAGTGAGCGGCTGTTTGGTGCTTAGGTGCCTACAACAGTTAGAACACGTTTTAAAGCTCTTGTCCTCATTCAGGCTGTCTGTTATGCTTTCTTCCAATGTTTATGTGCATGTGCTGATTTGTATGCTATGACACTATCCATATTTTATTTGGATGTGTAGGGGAAGATACATAACATGAGGAATATCAAAGGAAAAAGTTCAAGCAATAGTATGTTCTCATATTTTAGGTTTTGTCCAGAGCCTTCAGAAATCGTTTTGTGGAACTGCATTTTGATGAACTGCCAAGTGCTGAATTGGAAACCATCCTGCACAAACGATGCAGTTTACCACCTTCTTATTGCAGCAAGCTTGTCAAAGTCATGTTAGACCTGCAAGTATGGGAGTCTTTCTTATTTTTGTAGAAGACGTGTAAACATATTTCAGCACAAAATAATAGAAATTCCTTTGGGGGGGGGGTGGATGTTGATAGCTGGTAGATGTTTAAAAGCTAAATTATAATTGATGGAAGAGAACCCACTACAGTACTTAGCTCAGTGGTTAAGATAGGGAATAGGGAAGGTGATGTCAGATTTAAGAGAAAGCTAGCGGCAGGAAAATTAATAACCAAAGGCCTTGGGATTTGAAATAATCCCTTGCTCTGGATCAAAATTACAGTATTAGATTTGTAGCTGTCTTTGGGTCCTGCTAAATTTGGTGGTATTTTTAAGCAATAATTTTGGATGTGTTCTGATACTCCTATGTTTAACAAACATTTAACACTTAGTATGTAGTTAAAACTATTTCATAATTAAAAGCAATTGCAGTAGCACAAACTAGAGCATGCTTCCAAGTGCTAACATAAGTTTTGATGTAGAACCTAATCTTTTGCTTGGATTTTGTTTTATTCCAGGTACCTATTTTCTTTTTAGTATTTTTATTTATTGTTATCTTTATTATTTTGTTCCTGGTACCTATCAAATACCTGTTTAAAGGTAATTTGAGCTGGGGAGTTATAACTGTACTAGACTTTTTTTTTGTATGGTTTGCTTGAAGAAGTGTCACATCAGACAGCTCTGATTAGCTTGTCTTTAAGTATTTGGATAGATACATGGAAAAAAATCACTCATGTTTCGTTCTTATGACAGTCTTATCGTAGAGGTTCAACAGTATTTGCTGGGAAGCACGGGTTCATTACCCTGCGGGATCTGTTTCGTTGGGCTGAAAGGTACAGATTGGCAGAACAGCTGGAGAAGGAGTATGACTGGCTTCAGCACTTAGCAAATGATGGTGAGCCCTACTACCTCGGGTTTTTAGAGTGTCTGTAGAATTACTTTCTAACTCCAGTTCTTAAGTAGGGATTTTTGTTGCTGATGAACCAGGTAGTAATTGTTTTCTCTCTTCCTCTGCTTTATAGGGTTTATGCTTCTGGCAGGCAGAGTCAGAAAGCAGGAGGAGGTGGATGTTATTCAGAGTGTCCTTGAAAAACACTTCAAGAAGAAGCTATATCCTGAGTCACTCTTCTCAGGGGAAAGTGTCAAAAAGCTGCTGGGTGAGTTTCCTAGAAGGACCACACTGATAGTTCTCTAGATGTGACTGAAGCTGATGGATTGCTTTGTGTTGTGCAGCTAAATCATCCATACAGATGTCAGTGATGGACAGAGATTTTAACCATATTGTCTGGACTCAAGGGATGAGGAGACTTGCCATTTTGGTGGGACGAGCCCTGGAGTTCGGTGAACCAGTACTGCTGGTGGGAGACACTGGGTAACTTTGCTTTTTATGATGCAGTTCTTTGTAGTGCTGCACCCGTCACTGAGTCAGACACAAAATGATTGTGTGGCCTTCCGTGCTTCTTTGGTCTGTGACATTTTTAAGCCTCTGTCAAGGCAGGCTTGCAGCTGCTGTTTTTCACAGTTACGCTTTAAGGGGAAGCAATTGCATCTCTTTCAGCACAAGTCTTTAATGGGATTATCTGCATTATGTATAACTACATCAAAATTATATAGAAAGTAGTAAAATTGAGATGAGCTGACTTCTGTTCCCACCTTTCACAGGGTGCCCTGTAGCATCTTACTGTGCCTCACTGGAGAGGCTGCTTTTGGGGAATTGTGACATCTCTCTGTTTGAGAGCACATTAGCTTTACATGTTTTAACAGCTTGAATATAGCCTTGCTACTACTTCCCCCTCCACGCTGCGTCATATGCTGTAAAGCAGGTCGTGAAAGTGTTTTCTGCTCCTGTGCTGGTTGTAAATTTGGAGAGTAAATTTTTGTAGGAGAGAAGGGAAGAAAAACACAAGAAAAGGGAGAAGTAAAATTATTAAGGTAATAAATGAGAACTCCAGGTACTCAGCAGTTTATTCCCTCAGACTTGGGCTTGGTCTAGACACATAACATCTCCAGTTTAGTGAAATGTTAGGCTAGTTGAGTACCTGTAGGGGCAGGCAGAAATAAATTTGACTTTGAACCTGCTAAAATCGATCAATGCAGATGTTGATTTAAATTTAATTAAAGGCATCTTGTGCAAGTTAGCAACAGCTGTTGTGCCAAAAATGGCTTAACTTTGCATTTCTTTCAAGGAAAGGAGCAGAAGGAAGTTTGCATGCTTGGCCTTTGCCTTGTAGCTCTTCAGTGAAAATATGAATCATGTCCAAAGTGAGCTATTTTTTTTTTATTCTTCCCTTTCAATTAAATTACTTTGCAGGTGTGGTAAAACTACCATTTGTCAGATCTTCGCAGCATTAACAAATCAGAAGCTATACTCTGTGAATTGCCACTTGCATATGGAGACTTCAGACTTCCTGGGAGGACTGCGACCAGTCAGACAGAGGTCAAAAGACCAGGTTTGTCTTGCTTTGATAGTAGTTTGGATAGTGTGACCATGAAAGCAAAAAGTAGCAATAATATTGACTTTTCACTTCCTTTTCCATTTCTTAGGTGGAATCTGATGGTTCTAGACTCTTTGAGTGGTGTGATGGACCTCTTGTTTTAGCAATGAAAGAGGAGGGGTTTTTTCTCCTTGATGAGATTTCTTTAGCTGATGATTCTGTATTGGAGCGACTTAACAGGTATGTCTTAAATGTGTTAGTGTTAAGTATCCCTGATGTGACTATTCATTATACAAACGTTCATGGGGTAAATCTAGATTCTTTTAGGCACATTTGTTTCCTGGCCTGGATGAGCTGCTCTCTTAATAGTGTAATTGTTGTCATCAATCTGACAGGTGCTAGTTTTAATCGTGGTAATTCTTAGACAATTTTTGCTGTTTTAAATTCTAATTACAGCTAGAGGGAAATAATAGTAAGGTAAGGCAAGATGAAACTGCCTTGTCTTGCTTAAGTCTTGATGTCTTAACTTACCTGGAAAAAATAGAAGTTACTTTGATTGAAAAGCAGATACGTGTATCTTTGCTTGACATTTGTTGGTACACTGATTATGTTGGTTTTGAATGCTTTGGTTACTGCCATTACTTTCCACTTGGCTTTATAGTATTGCTGCAGACGGATCTGCACTCAAAATGCTCTATTTGTTTCATGAACAAAAATAAGATGATGAAAGGATTAGCGTTATTCAGTGGCTTATGTCTCTGGGTAAAGAAATTAAGAACATAAACCATAGTTTGGTTGAAACATTTGTACAGTATCTAAAGACAGTTTTACAGGATGAGTGAAGTTGAAAAATATATCCACAAGTAAAAGCTCTAGTTTACCATATGCAATATTAATATTTTCAGCGTGTCAGCTGTTGAAAGTGATGCATCTTATCAAAAACCGGAAACAAGATCTAGTCATGCCCCTCTTTTTTGTGTGTGTGTAAAAATTCATAAAATATACATTTAATTTCATTATCTTCTTGCAGCAATATTCCTCATTTTAGTCATTCCATTTAGAGAACGAGTCTTATGAGGAGCAGTTGAGGGAACTGGACTTGTTTATTCTGGAGGCTGAGGGGAGACCTAGTCACTCTCTACAACTACCTGAAAGGAGGTTTTAGAGAGCTGGATGTCCATCTCTTCTCCCAGGTAACAGTGACAGGACGAGAGGAAATGGCCTCCAGTTGCACCAGGGGAGGTTTAGGCTGGATATTAGGAAAAACTTCTTCACGGAAAGGGTCGTAAAGCATTGGAACAGGCTGTCCAGGGAAGTTGTTGACTCATTATCCCTGGAGTTATTTAAAAGACGTGTAGAGGTGGTGCTTAAGGGACATGGTTTAGTGGGAGTTGTCTGTGTTAGGTTTATGGTTGGACTTGATGATCTTGAAAGATCTTGTCCAGCCTAAATGATGCTGTGATTCTATGGCTACCCATTATATTGAGATGATTAGCAGCTATTTTTTCCACCATTACTAAACCCTCTGGTACAAGCTGGGTTGTTGGGTTTTTTTTTGTATCATTGCAGCTATCATTCTTCTATAAAGTTCAGTTAACCTCTTTGCTTTGACATTGATACTAAGCAGTGTCTTTCTAAAGGACTAACAGCTCAAACTTTTACAGCTTTTAGTGTACACTGAAGTACAGCTAGTCAAACAAACAAAAAACCCCTCAAAAAACCCAAAAGCCTACTACAGTGCTTCTCAGAGTGTATAGTTCATCAGCTTGAAGACTGATTCATTGTGCAGATTTCTCTATCTAGCTTCTATGAATACAAATGTTGCTATTGCTTTTGTAAAAAGAGCATTGTGGGATGTATACTTTATTGGACAAGACAGATCATTTAAATTGAACCTTATCAACAAGGTTTTGGGTAGCATTTCCTTCTAAGAAAATCAGGAGTGTTCTCAGTTAGGGAGGATGAATAGATTTTATTTTTTTAATACAAATTCTGGGGCAATGAAAGCTTAGTCAGGCCAATTCATATGCTTTTCATTAAGCTCAGGAGTGATGCATCCCAACAAAGAGGAAGCCAGGCAGAAATGCCAGGAGGCCTGCATGGATGAACAAGGAACTCCTGGGCAAACTCAAACAAAAAAAGGAAGCCTACAGAAGGTAGAAGCAGGGACAGGTAGCCTACGGGGAATACAGAGAAACTGAGCAGCCACGGATCAGGTTAGGAAAGCTATAGCCCTGATAGATTAAATCTGGCCAGTGACATCAAGGGTGACAAGAACTTCGACAGATATGTCAGTGATAAAAGGAAGACTAGGGAAAATGTGGGCCCTCTCCGGAAGGAAACAGGAGACCTGCTTGCCCAGGATACTGAGAAGGCTGAGGTACTCAATGACTTTTTTGCCTCCGTCTTCACTGGCTAGTGCTCAAGCTACACCACCCAAGTTGCAGAAGGCAAAGGCAGGGAATGGGAGGATGAAAAACCACCTACTGTAGGGGAAGAGCAGGTTTGAGACCATCTAAAGAACCCAAAGGTGCACAAGTCCATGGGACCTGATGAGATGCATCTGGGGGTCCTGAGGGAACTGGCTGATGAAGTTGCTAAGCCACTATTCATCGTATTTGAGAAGTCGTGGCAGTCTGGTGAC